ATTTTTTTTTTTTTTTTTATTTTTTTTTATTTTTTTTAAACCAAACTTGGTGGCTACCAGATATGTTCCAAACATCCGACAGGCTGTCGTGCGATCTTCGTGTGGGAGGCTTGTTCCGACTGACATTTCTTTTGATTTTTTTGCAATAATTAACTGGTTATATTCTGTTTATAAACTATATATATTCTGTATATAATGACAAGATTGATTATTTTCTATTATGTCGATTGTATACAATGGATATATCTTCTGTATATGTTCCCGAAAAATATACTTAAGGTCGACAATATATTTTTAGTATATGTACATGAGTACGATTTCAACTTGTTTTATATACTGTAAATACACAAACAATATACATAATAAATTAAGACAAATTACAAAAAATAAAAAATACAAAATACAAAAAAAACACGTTAAAAGAAATATATATGGTTGAACAGGTTCGTAATTAGTAGGTTATATATACTTACCTTTTTTCTTTCACTGCAATCCTGTAGATGCGTGATTGTAGGAAGGTGGCTTACGTGGTCTATTTGTAATCCCGCAATTTAAGGAGACTTAGATCTATTTTTTTCGGGTAACTGATATCTTGAATATTCACAAATAAATTCCATGCTGCAAGTATGCAATAAAAATTCAACCCTTGATATTGTTGCATATATTCTTAAATCGTTGTGTATATATAAAATTCTCCCAATAATAATTAGTTAATTTTAAGTTGTAAATGGCCCATAGTATGGCCCAACATTTGTTATTTACTTTAGTTGTCAATTTAGGGTATATTGGGAAATATATGAGAAATTATGCGGTCCCCGTAAGTTGTTACGTAAAAGGGAATTTTGCGAAATGAAAAACAGAATTTGGCATAATCATATCTCTCTCTCTCTTACTCGTCTCCCTCATTTCTTCTCTCTAAATTTTTCCTCATTTCTACTATCTTCAAGCTCAAATGAAAGTACAAAATTACATAAATTAAGTCTGCCCATAACATAATTGTAATATCTCTCTAATGCAGGGCATCGAGTATAGCATTGATTACTACTCACGGGATACAAATGAAGTGCTTTTCTTGTTCATTTTAGATCTAAAAAAATACTGATTGTCGTTGTTGTCATTAGTGGTGAATTTTTATAGTTGTTGTTTTGAGATTACTCCACATGAAGATTGTGAAGAATGTCCATTTCACACTAAATTTTAAGGGTAAGATTTTTTGGAGAAGAAAAAAGTGGTTGTAAGTTGTAAAATCTATGGAATATTTCAATGTTTATTTGACATTTATTAACACTTAATGTTTGATACATGAAAAAAAAATAGTCATGTTATATACACCTATTATAAACTAAAAATAAGCAAAACGTAAACTTAACCACTCGTTTGAACGACCTCAGACGCAGGTCAGGTGAGTGTTAGAGCATTGATGGAAAAAAATATGGCATGACTAATGTTTTCGAGCTGACCAGTCGCTTGTTTGAACGATCTCAGAGGCAGGTCAGGCTAGAATTAAATTTTTCGCAATAAAGAACATGGCAT